CGGAAATTCCGTAGCAGTTGGAGGGTATGGGTCTAGGATGCTATATTATTGTAGCTATAGGGGTCGGACAAACATATGGAAACATTTCTTTGCTAGCTCTATGCTAACTATCTTCCTTTTAAAAACAAATATTTTGGAAGATTTTACATGCAAACTAGTGGCACAGTTTGAAAGATCGAACTTGAAACTTTAAGAAATAGCGTCCTTTTTCAAATTTAAAAAAAAAAAAAATCTGTGTTGAGTGTGAAGACCATATGATGGATTTAGAATCTCAGCGTGTGCTTACGAAGACGACAATACCTGATTCATCGGCGTTGAAAGTCGATATATTTGAAAACAAAAAATTAAAATAGGCGTGTGTTACTAATTTTTTTTTTTTAATTTAGGGGATACCTACAACTGAGAAATATCTGATCAGTTTGATTACTTTTATGGCTACTTTTTACGGAAAGTCACTTTTCTCATCAATGCAATGAGGTTGCTTTCCTCTTCGTAGACAGAGGTAATGCGTTAACATCAGAGGCTCTAATCTTATACTCTAAGTATTATTTTATTAAAAGGATTTAACTGAACTTATGGACGAATATTTAAAATATTTAAATATACTCTTATAAAATCACTAATTCGACGATTTTATTTCACCTAAACGTCAATCATCAAGCGTGTTAAAATAATTCAAATAAAACAATAATTCAATTACAACAATTCGAAACAACAATCAATAACTACATATTTTTATGAGCCCAAAAAGGCTATGATAATAAATTATTTAAAAAAAAAAAACTTATCTTGGTCTTATTCAACACAGCAATACATTAAACCTATGCTTCTTTTTTTCTTCTTTTTTTTTAAGATTTATTTTTAAATAAGCAAGCAAGTGTATATGTATATAAACCTATAAATTCTTTAAAAACTTGAACATTCAGATAAAAAATAAACTAAAAATATCATTTTGAAACAAAATCTGTGGCTTTCCGAACAATTTCCGATCTGAAATTCTAACACCCGAATTAAGAATGAATAAATTCTTCGATAAATGCAACAAAAAGTTTCTTCCGAAGTGTAATTTATAAATGAAATTTCACATAATATATCAGCACTTAAAATCAACATCAACTGATGGTTAAGCCTTTAACATACATGTTTAAATTGTTTTCTATAGAATAATAGTAAAAATCGTTTTAAATTAAATTTGAAAAATCGAGAATAGAATTATCAGTGCTTTTTTTTACCAGTCTAAATCTAAAAATAAAATGTTAAAATAAAACAAAAAGCATTGAATGATTTGCTTATTGACAACTGCTCCGCTCTCTGAAAAAGTTTTAATAAAGTGGTAGCGAATTAATAGTTTAACTACTATAGTGAAACAGTAACCAGATAATTAATACGTATAGTTTACATGTTATATGATCTTTATAATTTTTGATATTTAGTGGTGGAAAATTATTTAAAATTAAAAATACTAAACTAAAAATACCATTTTGCAAAACGTAGCAAGTCAGCATCTCTGTTATTGTGTCGAAAATATAGTTTGAGCATTCATTTCCAATTAGTTACATTAACATTAGAAATGCCGTCATTTATCAATTTTAAGAATTATTATTTCCTAATAAGTTTCTCAATTAAAGAGATTATAGCTGTCCTAATAAATTAAGAAAAAACTTTTTCAAAATTAAAAAAAAATATATCAAAGTTAATTTGCGATTTATCCGCTGATGAGAACATGACTACTACAACAAATGAAAATTAAAAGATAAATGACAGAAGGAATTTGTAATTCCATTGTTTCTTTTTTCTCATTTATTTCGATGAAACCAGGGAATTCTTATTAAATTATATATAACCTTATTAATGTAACAACCACTCCATCATTAATGTAACAACACAACCAGGCAAGAGAGAAATATTTGGCAGTAACATCAATTATCTAGCTAATTTCGTGTTTTTATTTGTAAAAGAATCGATATTACATTTTCAAGTATCTCTTATGAATGAACAGAAAGTCTTTTCATATTTTAAATAGTCCCAAATTGCAATTCATTCAAAAACTGTTCAAATAATAAGCTTCTTCTATCCAATGTTAAAGGCACACTTTGAAACTATAACTTTATTTATTTAGCTGTGTTTGCTAAACATTCTAACAAGTTATTATTCTCACTTAACTCAAATTGAAATCACACTTGTAACATAAATACTAGGCATTAAAGTTTTGATTTTACACCCACGCAATATTGATACAAAATAATTCAACGTTTGATCTTTCATTTAAATGAGATTTCTATGAATCTCAATTTAAATGAGAAATTGAATTTTAAATATATGACTTTTTGAAATTCAATTTCTCAGGATCATTTCAACAGATTTTGGTCAAATTTGATATTTTGCCATGTAAAATTATATTCTTTAAAATGATCAAGAAATTGTAAACCTTACATTTCAAATTTTTTTCGCCTATTATTAAATAACATAGTAAAAAATAATAAAAATTTACCAAAAGTTATTTTTTACATAGAATTATCTTCGGATATATGAATTTTATAATTGTGCACGAAAGATTTTCAATTCACTTAAAAAGCTCTCGAGATATATAACAAAATACGCAAAAAAAGTAAAATTAACATTAAGGTGTCTAAACTTTGGAGAGCTCTCCCGACTAAACTATTAACAAACCTGCCAACTCTTCCGGATTTTCCGGAAGATTTTATTTTCATATTTAAAGTGGTAGTAATAATAAACAATTTTTTCTTTTATAATCTTAATTTTAAAATGATATTGATTACCACTATTCTTACAAAAATTAAGCACATATATTAATAGGCGTTACTGTCATGGTTGTCAACTTAAGTTTTCTCAAATACAACGTATTTGTTTGCTTAAAATTGAAGTTTAAATTCCATTTTAATACCACTAGGAAAAATAATAATGGAAGGGATTAAAAGTTGGCAGGTATGTAATAAGACCATATTTCCCAGATTGTGGCTACCCCTCCTATTTCGGGGGGTCTGAAATCCGAATCCCTCGAAACAAAGGTATGTTTATTCAGAGAAAGAACGTTTTTGTGTCTGATTTCGAAACTTAAAATATCGTCTGCACTTATTATTTAGCATGTTTGAGGTCACCCCCCGAATCGTTAAGATTGAGTCCTAGAACGTGAAGATCATTTCAGTAGATCAAAAGTTTTTTAGGATGGCCCGTTTTTGTTTGGGTTTTTTTCTCATTGTACGTTAATAAATAAAATAATAAATAAATGCATTCTTATGTTAATAAATAAAGTAATAAATAAATGCATTTTTAAGTTAATAAATAAAGTATTAAAGAAATTATTAATGGTTGTTATAAATCTACGGTAATAGATGTAGAAATTCGAGTTTACTAAACATACTCAGGCGTTGAGATTAATATATATTTTATGGGATCCCAAAAATCTTGCAAAATTTCAGCACTAGTAGGAAAAGTACGTAAACAAATAAAATAGCAAATAAATAAATTTTTACGTTAATGAATAAAGTATTAAAGAAATTATTAATAGCTGTTATAAAATTACGGTAATAAATGAATAAATTCGAGTTTACTAAACATACTGTAACGGCCGTTGAGATTAATATATATTTTGTGGGATCCCAAAAATCTTGCAAAATTTCAGCACTAGTAGGAAAAGTACGTAAATAAATAAAGTAGCATGTAAATAAATTTTTACGTTAATAAATGAAGAAATAAAGGAATTATTAATAGTTGTCATAAATTTACATTAATAAAGAAAATAATTCGAATTTAATCAACACACTCGTAGCCGTTGATGGAGATTAATAATTATTGTCTGGGCTCAGACAATTCTTATGAATTTTTAATTAGAGTAGTAAATTTACGTTAATAAATAAAGTAATTCAAGTTACTAAACATAAAAACTCACAGCTGTTGAAGTAAATATATATTATCAGGGTTCCCACGAATCTTACAAATTTGTAATAATAGTAGCAAATATACGTTGCTAAATGACGTAATTAGAGTTAATTAAACATAAATAAAAGCCACTCACCAGTGAAAAATATAGTAATACTAGCTGGAGAACTAATACATTGATCGGTTACAGCTTTTCTTAAAGACATTAACACAGTTGTTGCTGGCAACCAGGAATCTAAGACTCTATACCAATAAAAAAGCGGAGGCCCAATACCAATTAATCCAATAACCGCATATCGTCCAACAGTTTTCCAATCTATTGATTTCTTTTCTGGGTCTACACGAGTCAGAATCGTCTGCTGTGTCACCTCAGCACCAACATACATCGTTCCGAAAGAGACCATATTCATCAACAATGGCCTCTTCTGGAATATTTGTTTAGTCCTACTCCACATGGTTAATATTGTGGAATAAACGCTAGAGTTGTCACACAATTAGAAGAATATTAAAACGCGTTCGATGAGCACGATGGTAAACTGGCGGCCTTGGCTGCTTTTCAAAACTACTTTTCCAGCTGTTTTCCTTTTTCATTTAACTTTTTTCTTTTTTTTCTTTTTACAACGCAGATTAAGCAGTGCGGATGTTGAAATTAGATGGGAAGAATGCCAGTCGTGACGTCACGCCTACGGGGAAAAAAATATTGTTTGTAGACGAAATTTCGGTACTTCAATTCCAAAATCTGACGCTGAGATGTTTTTCTCCGTCTGGTTGATTGTTTGCTTTGTAACAACTCTTAAAGGAAGCGCCACTAGGACAGTAAATTTTATCAGTTAAGACTTATCGGATACATATTTTTAAAAAAATTTAGTAGGTATAAAAATTAGACATGATTTAATCTATTACTTAAATCAGCGCGGTAATTATTTATTCTTTTACATAAAATAGAACTATTTCGGAAACTGGTTTATAGTCTTATATTTTTAATTACCAACAATGAATGAAAACTCCAGTATTTTATAGAATCCTGACGTCTTATATTTGTCTAAGAAGTTAAAATCACTTCTGCATACATTTAAAAACAACCGTTAACTTGCATTACCAACAATATTTGAAGACTCCAGCATTTTATAGAATCCTGAAGTTTCGTATTTGTCTAAGAAGTTAAAATCTTCACTTTTGCAAAAATAAAAAAAACAATCGTTTAGTTGCATTATCAACAATGTACGAAGACTCCAGCATTTTATAGAATCCTGAAATCTTATACTTGTCTGAGAAGTTAAAATCTTCCCTTCTGCATACACTCAAAAAACCGTTGAGTTGCATTACCAACAATGAAGACTCCAGCATTTTATAGAATCCTGACATCTTACATTTGTCTAAGAATTTAAAATCTTCACTTCTGCATACATTAAAAAAATATCCGTTTAGTTGCATTATCAACAATATATGAAGACTTCAACATTTTATAGAATTCTAACGTCTTATATTTGCCTAAGAATTTAAAATCTTCACTTCTGCATACACTAAAAAAACATCCGTTTAGTTGTTGTTGTTGTTGTTAATTTACG